TCAATAAAAGAATATGCAGCACTGTATAGTTCATTGAATGAGAGCCTTATCATCTCTCTACATAATGAAAGATTATTACGTGCGGAGATAAGATACAGAGAATCGTTCAATTTTATTTCTGTGAATAATAAAAACACAGTGATGAACAATAAAATCATAGTTCACTGCGCTTTTACTGTTCATAGAGACAAACTAGACTCTTCTTTACGTCAGGTCTCCGCACGTAATAATTTCTCATCCATAAGACATACTATAATAATAACATCAAACTTTTATTCTATTATATGAGATCGGCTATATGATTCTTTTTTCTCCATTATGTCATCTTAAAAATTAAATTCTCATTTAAATCTAATAATGAAAGCCCATTTCTAAAATATTCTAATAAAGTATTTTTAAGTCTACGTATAACTTTCTTAATATAAATCAAATCTAATACATCTACTTTCCAAACTTTTCACATATATGCTCATTTTGTATCATTTCTCTAAGAGTAAAGCCACTCATTCCATAAGCCATACTTATTATTAATATTTAATAATTAACAATTAAATTCATTTAACATTTAAAATAATAATTGATGAAATATACCAATAATTTAATTATAACTTTGCATTTTTTTGTAGAAATATTGTGTTTTCTAAGAACAAATAACTTTCTACTAAATATTTTGAAATTAAAACCTTAAAAGAATCCCAATTAGTTTCCATATGAATGTGAACTGATTGCTAAGCTTTGAATCAATCAGATTTAATTGAATCCAAGCTAAAAAGACTTGGCAACTATATTATTAAAAAAACAGTAGCAGGTCTTTCTTTTATTTTTTTCAAAAGGAAAAGTTGTGATTGTTCAAAGTAAAAGGCTTGAACGCAGCATTAATTCAACCTATCATGCGGGGCTTCCATTTTCTCACCCGTTCAAAATATTTTTGGAAGACAAAAATGTCAAACTGTTCAATGTTTTGAATATTAATTTGCAAGTCAGCAGCCTATTTGGAAGGTGCATAAAGTTTCATTTGGGAAGATTTTCCTACGTTTTTTAAAGCAGCTTTCTAAAATAAAGTCTTTGAGACGTCTTTCTTACTGCTACTTAAATCAGCTTTTTAGTCCAAAAATTAAAATTTGTGTACTAAAAACTGTTTTAAGAAGCAGTAAGAAAGTCATCCCAAATGAGGCCTAAATTGCAAATTTAGAGTAAGTTTTTAAGTAATTTTGAACTCGAAAAACTTAATATGTGTGAACGTAAATTATCATACTTAAGAATTAATGCGCGTATATTCGGGTACAAGATGAGACTAAGGTCGTATAATCATGAAAATGATCCTAAGTAAAGTTCACAAATAAGTTTTTTAAATGTTGTAAATCAATGATACTGACTCACTATATATGTTTGGTGAGGCCAAAATTTCAGTCGTTGATCTACGCGAAATAGGGCATCCTAAACAAACATACTAATTGAGATGACTAATGAGGATTTATTTAAGGAGACTATAAGTTTTTGTAGAGATAATTGTCAAGTCGTTACATGAAAAGTAAAATCTTTTAAAGTTTTTTTTTTAAGTGTCATAAATTATTTTTCAAAAAAAAAAAAAAGCAGTAGCTTTCTTACAACTAGAACTCTCTGAAAATTTTGATTATAAAAAATTTCTTTCCATAACAAAAATTCTTAAAACACTTAAAGAAACTTAAAAAACGGTAAAAAAGCATAAGAATGAGTAATTGATTAATGGATGCTAAAGATAATGAGTCAATAGAGATAAAAATAAGAGACAAATAGAACATGGTCGCTAAAGATATATTTTAGCTAACAAGATTTAAGTTGATGTATGGATGATTTGTTTGCAAAAAAAAAATCAGAATGTTGTAATTGATTAATCATTCAATTTCTACAAAATGTATGTCGTAGTTGCATTGAATTTGGCTCGACTACTATTTATTTATATCCTTGAAATATTGTTGTATGCTTCACAGATATGTCGGGGTCCTAGGGGGCAGCACACTTTTCGACCTGTCAGATGTGTTTAAATTAATAAATAAAATGACAAATTCTCTTTACTATTTATCTTTGTATTTGGTTCATCGTTCCCTAATAATAACATTTCTACACAATGTATTTAATTATGCTGAGGGCAATTACCTAAAGACTATAGTATTTTAAAACTTTTAAGGCTGGCAATTGCCTAAAAATTATTATGATAAAGACTAAAAATAAATGAATGAAGATAAATTACCTAAAGAATCACGCACGAACTATTATTACGTCCTCTGACCGAACGTAGATCTACGTTCGGTCAAATGATTGTTACTCGATTTTTGCTCGGTATTTGGTCGGTATTGCTAGGTATTGTTTGATAATAACGAGGAATACCACTATAGGAAGACCAATACCGAGTAATACCGAGCAATACAAAGTATTATAAAAAAATACCGAGTTTTTCTAGGAAAAACTATGTATTTTTTGGTATTACTCGGTATTGCTCGGTATTTTGTCTTCACATAATGATATTTATCGTTATTATTGGTATTGCTCGGTATTTGCTCGTTATTTCTCATTTTGTGCCTGCGATCTTAGTGCTGGCCGAACATAGCTCTACGTACGTTCATCGGACCAAATAAAAGTTCAAGAATCACGTAATGAAGATTTTTTTTTTTTTTTTTTTTAGGGGGCGGCAATAGCCCCGTTCGAGCTAATGGAGGATCCGCCCCTGCATCCTCCTATTTAAAAAACTAATAAGAACAAAAAAAAAAATCATAAAACTCAGTCCAAATGTCAAATGCTCACCATCAACATCTAAATAATACATATTTTAGTTCACATTTGAAGTCAAAGAAGCTTCTCTACGAGATTATAAATTACAATTTAAAGCCATTGTTATATGTCAATTCTTTTGATATGTAAATATTACGAGCAGCAAAAAATCAAACAAGGTAGATTAACATGAGAAGAATATAAGCTTATAGCAAACTCTAAAGCCTTTTAACAGATGCCACAACAACATTTCATGGCCGTCGTTAAGAAAAATAATTGTCGGTATGACTATAGAGGAGTCTAATTATTCTAAGAGTAGCAAAATAAATAATATTAAAAATTGAAAATTGTCAAATTTTTAATATTATCATATCTAAAGAAAATTTGGATAATATTATTCAAATCTAATCTTGTTATAATAAATAATATCAAAGTTGATTAGAGAAGTCAACTGCGGAGCTTGTTTTTAATTATTTGATTATATTATTTTTATTTAGAATATTTAATAAATTGGTAATCCATTATTTAATTATTTATTCATTTTTTACTTTCTCCGAACCGGGCAATAAAAGCGAACCGGTCGGCCGAGCCAAAAATCCCCCGCCGTAACCGCACAGACAGCGTTAACTCTCAATCAGATGGCCCACCTTTGCGTGGTCCAACTTCCTTTGTGGATGCCGAGAAGAAAAATGGTCGAAAGCTTGACGACCTGAGAACGTCAGCTCTTTATCTCGGCACGTGTCGGTGGTCCCTCGATTTCCCGTATGACTTCGGGCGGTCAAATGACGGTGCTTGACAGGAGACGCGTGTCCTGCGAGTCTCGAACCGCGGTGGCAAACTTGATCGCTGCCGCCACCACCCGACCGCCGGCAGCTGCCACATTTTCTCCCACTGAATCATTGGAGGATGGAGGCTTCTTCAGTTCTTCGCATTTTATTTCCTCTTTCCAACAAAAAAAAAACACTCCACCGAATTGCTTGTTAGAAAAATTAGCACAAAAAGAAAATAGAAAAGAAAGATCAGTAGCTTGGCGGCCTTTTAGAAACTTTTTTTTTCTTCCTTCAATTAAAATAAATTTGGCAGATAAGATGCATGGTCGATGATGGCTGTGATCATGTAACAATGTGACCTACAGGTTTGGGATGGCCGACGATTTAGGTTTAGCTTGCGACAACTTTTTTATTACTTTTTAAACTAAATTCTTAATTTTTAAAATTTTTTTTATCAAAAAACTACTTCATAAAGCAATAAGAAAGTCATCCCAAAAGAAGCCTTAGAGCCATGATGATGGTGGTTGGGGTAGACTGCAGTAATAGGCCATGAAAGAAGGAGAAATTATTATGTGCGGTCACTAGAATGTCCAGAGGCCACATCACCTGGCACACAGTTGTACATAGCAAAAAAATAACATGGTGCATCCTGGTTCGCCTCTGGAGACCATCCTGTAACCGCACAGAATAATTTCTCCTCTTGAAGCCATCAGTAACTGAGTGAACTCGTTCACCTTCGACAACCAAATTAGATTTAAGGATAACATAATCTTTTATCCTAGTCAGAAGAGTGTTCATAGAAGAAGCAATGATGTGTTATATCATGTTGTTCCTTCGCAATCATGTATTGTAAATTATAAGATTTGATATTGTAAGTATAGTTATCTTATGGTCTTATGGCTTATGATAAGGTTAATTTTTAAACTCTGAAACATGGAATAATGATGCATTAAAAAAGTATTATTGCTTGTTAGGCAGGGTTTTTCAAACCAGAAACATAGAAAAAGAAAAAAAAACAAAAGAGATAAGAATAATATATAATAATATGATATTAATTTATCTATTTTTTTCAAAAAATAATATTTTCTTATGTGATAAAATATGCTCTCAATATTTCTCAACCTTTGTAAATATTAATAAATGAAAGATATTTTTAATCTAGCAAAATGATATTATTTAAGTTTATTCTCTGATAGTTTTTAAAGTAAATTCTAATTATAATTGAATTTTTAATTATTCTCTGATTTTGTTGTCTTTAGTAAATCTTATTCCCTATTTGTTAACGAATAAAGTATGAAAATTTTTATCATTAAAAAAAAAACAGTTGAAAATATATCGATTTAGTGAATTTTTGTTCCCACAAAGAAATGTGCTGACAGTGCAAGCATTTTCAAACAAGTTGTCTTTTCTAGAGCTTAATAAATAAAGAAAGAAAGTCTAAAAGTCTTCCCCCTAACCCCTGCCCGCCCCCACCAACCAAAGCTAAAGGCATATCCCCACCCCTGGCCCTGACCTCTCTTATCTCACTACGAACCTAAAACCCACCTCCTTACTCCTCACTCTTTTTCTCTCTCTCTCTTCGCTCAACCTTCCTTCACTTCTCTTCTTTTTCATCCTCAAGCCAAAATTCATGTCGGGAGAGAAGCTAGGGGAGCTCTTCCAACATGACAGTACCATCTTCGACCCATACTCCCTTTTCTCTCTACGATCTGGGGGGCCGCAGGGGCTTGAATCTGGCCTGCCACAATTTTCAGGCTTCTTAGATTACCTACAAAGCTCCACCGACTTTGGCTTCACGAGCTCGTTATCACAGGAACCTTTCGGCCTGATCGGAGATAGGCATAAGGTCTGCAAAGCAGAGCCGAGAGCTACTGAAAACGTGATCAGCTCAGTTTTTGCTGGTGGAGGGACGAGAGCCATGACTGCTAATTCCTCGGTGTCTTCCTCGTCGACTGAGGCTGCCGGAGAAGAAGAATCAGATAAGAATGAGAAGAATGAGGAGAAGGAGCAGGAGGAGGAGGACGAAGAGAACAAGGATGTAAAGGGGGTTGATGATGGAGCTGATGAGGACGAGAAGGCTAAGACAGTGTAATTCTATTCTCTTTTTATAGTAATATTCTTCTTTTGTTGCAAGTTTTGTATTTTATTCTTCAAAACCAAGAGCCTACTCGGATTACTTCCAGGATTTTACTTCCCCGATCTAGTTTTTTAGTTCATAGATTCTTTTCTGATAAGTGTCTTCTTTTGGGATCATCTTCTTTCTTTTGGTAATTTTGCAGAGTCAGCAAACTTAATTGGTAGATGATGAAAGTATTAGATGACAAAAGTTAGGGTTCTAAATTTATGATTATCTAGATCGAGCATATTTTCTTAACGTTTTGTATTTTAGTAAAATCAAGCTATGTATTACTTTTTCATTTAGATTCGTTAGGGTTCTCAATGAAACTTTTCTAAACAGATAAGCTCTATATGAACCCTTTCTGAACACTTGAAAGTTTAGGGTTTATATATATTCAACCTGCCTTTTTTTTTCTTCTTCTTTAACTCCTCTGGTGACTGGTGAGTGGTTATTTTTGTTTTAATTACAGTTAAGCAGTATCAGAAATTTCAAAACAGTGTACAATCCACTTTTGTCGAACTCCTAAGGAGATGATCCCTACATAACTATAGCAATGCATTATTGTGTGCATATTTGTCTAAGTAGATAGTCAAAGTCTTGCATGGATTTCATGATTATATATGATCAAAGATCTCCAAGTAGCATTTCTTTGAGAGTTGTAGTCCATAAACCCGCTATTTAACCTGATAATTAACCTCTCAATTAGCAAAGCTCTAGAAGGATACACTTGGGCTTCGTTTGAGATGACTTTCTTAGTGCTTCTTAAAGCAATATTTTAGTAAAAAAATTTTAATTTTTGTGCTATAGAGCAGCTTTAAGAAGCAGTAAAAAAACCACCCAAACTAAGCTTTAGAAATGCTAGTGATAGCCTTTTATGGCTACAATTCTTTTCTTTTACACTGCGAGGCTGATTATTATCTTAGTGTTCAAAGTTTCATCCATGATTTGTTTTGTGTGAATTCTTTTTGAAAAGTTCAGCAAATCTTATGGATCTTATGGTTCAATTTTGTTTGATTAGTTTCCTTTGTGTTTAGCAAAACTGTTTTGCTTTGATTCTATAAAAGAACTTACTGATTACAAATTACAGAAGCAAGTCGAGGAAGAAAGGAGAGAAGAGGCAAAGACAGCCGCGCTTTGCCTTCATGACAAAGAGCGAGGTTGATCACCTAGAAGATGGTTACCGTTGGAGAAAATATGGCCAAAAGGCAGTTAAGAACAGCCGTTATCCGAGGTAACTATATATATATGCAGCTATTAGAGAAAGTAAAATGTTTCACAAACATAAAAAAATTAATCAAATTTCAATACATTTTCTATTGCCAAAAATTCTACGAGGAATTATTAACAGAAATAATTAGTTCCTAGAAAGAATTTAAAATCATCATGAATTCTACTTCATGATTAGTGAAGTACTAACCTTGACTGATGCTGCACTGGTGCAAGCACACAATATTCTCATTCATTTCTTATAAAAAATTTATAAAATTTAGGATTTATCATTTTATGCATGTGTTTGTATTTTATATATTTGATTTTCAATTTTAATCATCCACCTTTCAATCTTGACACCAAAAAAAAAAAAAAACTTTCACAACTTTTTTAATTATGAGAATTTTTATAAGAAATTTCTTTAAAATTTTTGCCAATTTTATAAATTCAACACATTATTTAGTATAACAATGGTATTTATAAAAAAGAATTCAGTATAAGAGGAAGCGTACGTGGATCAGTATCCACATCATTTGTTGTCACGTAGCTTAAAGATGATAAAGAAAAAGTATTAAAAGAGTATTTCTCTTTGAATGACAGTGAAAGTAATAATTCAAAATGATCTTATCTCTCTTTGACTTAGAACATAAAGATTATTGATCAGGTTAAAAGTAATTTGACTTGATTAGAGTCAATTAATGGCTATCTCATATAATTATTCTCACCAATCAATCTTGTAAGCTGAAAGCTGAACTTTTCCTTTCTTTGACTGAAAAAAAAAAATTTCAGGAGCTACTATCGTTGCACCACACAGAAGTGTTTAGTGAAGAAGAGAGTCGAGCGATCACACGAAGACCCATCGATAGTTATAACAACTTATGAAGGACAACATACTCACCACTACCCATCCAACGTGCGAGGGAGCTCTCACATGCTCGCAAACCCGCAGTCCTCCATGCCGCCAAGCTTCCACCATGACTTGTTTCTGCAAACCCTAACACCTCCACTTCAGCAATTTAACCTTCCAGCAAACTATCATGAACTTCTTCTTCTACAGAACAGTATCCATCCATCGTTCATTAACAGCAACCAGCCATGATAATACTTATGAAAACTAGTTTGATATATGTTCTTAGTTTCTTGTAAATATGAAACCTTTGGATTCTAATTCTGCTATTAAGTGCTACTAGCTAGCTATAATGCCGTAGAACTGCATGTTAATTTGATTTGGCTTTGAAGTTCGATCTCTTCCAAATGTTTTTCTATATTTAGAGGGGATTCGTGGAGAGGATATATATATATATATATAATATTTCTGAGATTAGAAGGGAGCATTAAATGTTTGCATTGGCTGGTGGGTACTCTTCAGATTGTTCCGAAGAGAGAGGTCTCTTTCATTGGGAAAGTAAAATGCTATAGGGACCACTGCATTTATTGAGGAGTTGGGAGGAGGAAGAGGATGGCGTGCTCTAGCATACAGAGCTAGCTTTCGGTTCCTGTTTGGTGGATGGAGTTATTGAGGAAATATTAGAGCTTCTCTTCGTTTTTGTTTTTTTGAGATTTTTTAGTCATTTCTATTTGATCTATATTCTTAATGATTATTCTCAAGCATTAAATACATAAATTATTTATTTCTCTTACTACATGAATGTTGATTAAACTCATATTAGCATTGCCAAGGTTTCTTATTTCGGTTTCCATATCATAGTAATTGTTTCAATTTTGATAGTTTGATCATTGAGATTAGTATTGATTTTAGGCCCTTTTCATCATTTTTATACAAACAATTGGCTCAAATAAGTACAACAAATAAGAATTTTGATGTGAAATGAAGGGTTTGTTTGGGGAGAAATTATTCTTTGTGCACTACGAACAAGTTCACCGTTCGGAGATTAACTAGAATGCTCCACGTCAGCAGTATTGAGCCGAGTACCGAGCGGTACCGAGCAAAGGTACCTAGCAGTATCGAGCTGGGTACCGAGCTGGGGGTGTCGTGGCTTATTCTGGCGGTCTCCGAACGGTGTTTGACTTCCACACAAAATAATTTTCTTTCACTTGGGACAGCTTTAGATTATTATTTTTTTTTTGTACTTTTAAAGAAATTTTTTACTAAAAAAATAACTTTATAAAATAATAAAAAATTGTTCCAAACCAAACTCTACTTTGAAATTAATGGGCATATAATTTTTTTATTTATTTTTTAATTAATGGGCATACAATAAAAATGTTATTATGTTAATCGATTTTAATTGGGTTGAAGCGAAAGCAATTCAAGATAATCATAATAGAATGAAGACTGCTGAAACTTTAATAATTCTGCTTTTATTGAAGATATTCACTGGATCCAGAGTAATTTTTTCTCCCTGGTGAAGTGGTGATAATAAGAAGAAAATTTGTACTGGACATCCTCATAAAGATGAAATAAGGACATTGAGGACAAAGTAAATTATTGTACAATATATATATTAAATATTGCAAGAAGTCACCTTCTCAAGCATTGATTTGCATGCATAATTATGAACGTCCTAATTAAACTTTGTAATAGTAAGGATATCCTGCGAAAATACTTTTCATGATAATAAGAAAATAATAAAAGCATTTTATGAAATGATATTTTTGACAAAATATCATGGAATAATTTATATTAAAATAAATTTAAATTTATTAGATTTATTTTTACTGTTAATATTACACTAATTATTTAATAAATTAAAAAAAAATAAAACACACACACACATATATATATATATATATATATATCCAAGGGCGGATCTACCTAAAGCCCAAGAGGGACAATTGCACCCGCTAAAAAAATAAAAATAAAAATTATTATATGATTTTTTAGGTAATTTGTCTCTCGTCATATATTTTTTTAGTCTTTATTATAAGGATTTTTTTGCCCCTACTAAAGTTTTAAAATACTATAGTTTTTAGATAATTGCCTCCAACATAATTAAACAAATTGTGCAGAGATGTTATTGTTATGGATCGATGAAAAAAAATAAAAATAATTAAAAAATATCCTTATATACAACAGAAATTTGTTAGGTCGAACCCTGCCAGGGAGCGCTGCCCCCTTGGACCCCCGGCATATCTGTGAAATCTCTACACTTTTACTTATAAGTTTGGCTACCATTGTTTTATCTAAATATTCTAATACATAATTTTTTTAACATTTATATGGCTCAATTAGACCAATTTTTTCACTATATTGATTTAAAATTGTTTTACATTAATATTAATTTATTTTAGAGGAATTCATATTTTGTTAACAAGCTTACTAAATTTTTTTTATACTGCAATGAATTTTATTTTATTTACTTTTACATTATTATTATTATTTTAAGTAAAATTAAATTCTAATTCATCATTATATTAATTTAATATTATTAATCATTATTTAAAAACTATATAAAATTAATCGTTATTTTTTATCCTTCCAAATTAAAACTCGCTTAACATTTTTAAATGACTGAGTTTCATGAATAAAATCGAACTCATTTTCATCAAATTAAAATTAAATAAAAGCATTCCAAATCTAATGTAAAATATTTTTGTTCACTTTTGAGGTAAAATAAATAAATTGCTTTCACCACAGTCAACCGCTACCATGTCACCCCCCTGTCGGTCGTTGCTGCCACTGACCACCACAACGTTGCAAGCCACTGCAGCCCCCCACCTATCATCGTCAGCCACCACCGCCCTGTCACTAGCCACCCTCAACTGATGCCTACCACTGGTCCCTGGTGTCCACCATCGCCGCTGTAGGTTAGCCTCTATCATCATTTTGAACTTTACACTGGATTCATTTTATTTAAAAATAAACAAAATAATAATAATCTCATGCATTCCTTTTATACTCATCCAAACAACTTCAAACATTTCAAATGCACTCACTATGTTCATTTTATACTGTATTCTTTTTACTCTGCATGCTATTTCTAGTAAACTAAACAACCCCTGACATTTATGCTGAGATTAATTCCACATATGATATTCAATTGTTGTACTAACCTCAACACAAATCTAAGAACAATATCAAAGGTTTTTCTTAAGCTCAAAATATTCAAATGTTGTACTAACCATTAATGGAGACCATTCTAACGTAAATTCTATCAAGATATTTTGATATATTTTTTTCTAAAGCTCAAAATATCAAAACTTTTTTACTACATTGCTTGTGTGTGTGTATGTTTTTTTTTTTAATTCATTTAAAAAATAAATTATATTTGCAGATATTTACATTAATCTTAGAGTTTAGTATCTCTTAAATAAGGCCAAAATCCTCAATCAACTGACCTAAAAATAGTTAGGACTCATCACATTGTTTTTATTTCATTCCTACTATAATGAATATAATCAAAATTACAATTTTTGTTCTTTATGAAGGAAATATTTGTGTCAAAGCTTCTTATATAAGTATAAAAATATACAAGAAATAATAAAAAATAAAAAGCTATTTAATCAAGATATTTGACAACATAATTCTAGCTACCTTAAGAATAAATAAATTCAAGTATCATATTTTAACACAAAGCATCATTTTTCTATCAAATTTTATTTCATTTTATCATCCTTCATTGATTATATAAATTTATATCAGGATATGATATATTCCCTTCTATGTACAAAACTGCCCAATCTCTAATACTAAAAACCAAAAACTTAGATTATTAATTTGATTTCATGCCTTAGGAGCTGTGCTTGATATATGGTTCACAAGTAGTATTGAAAGTGGTGGAATTAAGATTTATGAACATGAACATTTGTTGAAGCCGAGACAAGTATAACCTAATTTATTATATTGATCAGTATATATTTTTTATGGTACATGCATGTTAGAATGATGAGTCTATGCACCATCATGAATAAGGACATTAGATTTCATATACTATCATAGATGAAAATTGATGCATTTTTACTATCATGAGATTTGGATTGGACTGGCCGCTTAATTGAAGGTACTATTCATAACTTTCTAAGGGAAGCATTTAAGTAAATTTCATTTTGATGAATGCTTGATTTTTCTTCATTAAAATGATTCAAATAATTTCATGATGGATGCACAAAAAACTTAAAATAATTTTTTTAATTGACTTCTTATTGAATCTCATATTTATAAGGAAATGGCTTGAGATAGTTATAGAGATAACATTTAAAAACACTCAATTGCAACTAGTTCTTAGAGGTTGATCAAATATTTCGGGGCACTAATATGCACAAGCTGAGTAGCTTTGTGCTCTTTGTCTCGTGCATATTGAGCAATGGTACACCGGCCTTTCTAACGAGTCAACACATAAGTTTTTCCTATTGTTGTTGGCTTTTTACCTGATAACTATATATGATTTGATTGTTACCTTGGGCCCCATTCGTAGTCAAATTAATCTAGTGGATATCTATGTCATCACATGATACGTGCAAATGCGAGAAGAGCTCATCAACTTTATATATATAGGGACAAAATTATGATGATTTTAACCTTGATTTTGTTATAAACCGCCCAAGGAAAGACTTTTCCTTACGACCTTAAGATAATGTAGCTCACTAGCTTCAAATTTCTCATCTTTTGGAATGACTCATTTTACTTATTCGGTCGTCTTCTATGCTCTTTAGAAAACTTTTATAGGCAAAAAATGAATATTCTTCTCTTAAGTTCTTACTTTTTCTCCTCTATTTCCTTGGAATTCAACTTCTGAAGTTTCATGCTCTTTTACTTCTTTGATTGATTATATTCAATGCTAGTCTTTGAATCATCAATATTTCGTTTACTCATGTCAACTCTACACTAAGGGAATCACTTTCTAGTCAAACTCTTAGAATTTTTTACTGACTATCTCCAACTTAGAAAAACTCAATTATAACAATAGAAGCTCTACCCCACAAATATCATCAATTTCAACCAATAGATATAACTCTCTTATCATCCATATATATATTTGCTCAAGTGTAAATTTAAAGGCTATCCTTTGACATTACTAAAAAATTCATCTCTATGTAACTTCTCTCAACCAACTAAAAAGGTAATCTCTAAGCAAAATAGTCTTGTTTATATCCATTAATTGGAAGATGGCATCTTCACATCTCACATTAGTACGACTTATCTTCTCCCTTATGACAATATACCCCACCTAATTGCACCCAATGATTCTCCTTGGCTCCACCCACCAAGCCACATACTATCAACTTCCACTCCCTGGTCATCGAGCTCAACTTTTAACCACAAACTTGCCATTTTGTCACCTTCGATCATTACCAATCCATCAATCTATTGCAAACCCATGTGTAATTATTTGTGCCATGCTCATATGTCCAACACTCATACACACATGACTAGCACTCATATACCCAATATACAATGCCCAAACATCGTATGACTTTATTGACCTTATCATCCTCAACAAACTCTAAGCCTAGGACCCTTCAGCTCCATGTCTACCATCCAATTATAGACCAAAACTTGAGATTTTGTGAGTGGCCTAATTGTGTTGACACATCTTATCCAGCAAGCACCATAGAGTCAATAGGTATATATAATATAAGTCAACACATTTGTAGAGCTCCTCATGAAAAGAATGATTATTTATGTAATAGTGTAATAATTTTAAGGTTTAGTGTAATTAACCATCATTTACATTAATATAAATGTCCAATATATATTTTTGACAAAGTTCATAAAGAGAGTAGTATAAAACAATAAGAGAAAGAATTTGAATGATTTAATATGATTTAATTCTTTAAAATTTCACATCTTTTATTGCTTTCAAGAACTTCTTAGAGAGTTACCACCTTCAACATTAATTACTTGTGTGGCAGAAGCATTATCTTTACATTTTCAATGTACTTCATTCATGTTAGACTGTAGCAAATATTTTAAAAAATAAAATTTAAAAAAGCTATCTCAAATTTCTTGGTCTTCATATTATAGTTTACTTAAAATTATATAAAATTCTATTGTATTCTTTGTAGGAAAATTTATCATAATATTTAATTATATACATTCAAGTCACAAAATACATACTTAGTCAATAAGAGCATAGTCGACTCAGATTCATGTTGCATGACTCTCTGATATATCAACATATACATATTTAGATATATTACATTTTTGCATTACATTGTTAACTCTCATATAAATTTGAGTCATCTTGCCCATAGGGAGAGATTGTAAAACAACTTTTCTTCCGTATTTAATCTCATAGTTTCTAGCATTTTATGAAGATTAAATGGTATGATTTTGAAATAATTTAAGTGGACATATGTAGGCATCTCTTATCCATGGTCATAAGCCATTTGCAAAACTCGTTCCCTCACAAGTAGGTATTTAAAAAGGTATTATCTTATGTTGGGCCCCTTCTATCAACCACTTTCCCTTGAGAATTAAGAGAGATGTAAGCCAAGACCATTTTTTTGCCTTCTTTTATGGGAGTCAAAGTTAAGTTATTTCGTTCATTTTTTAACAATTCTCATTTAAGAAAACCAAATTTTCTACATCTTCATTAATTAAGATCTGTCACTTTTTTTCTCTCTTACAATTGTTGTGTTTATATGTGACAATCATGTATATTGTTCAACCACTTGGACCATTCTTCCTTTCTAATAAGAAAACATTTTACAAACCATTTATATTGAATTGAGGAACATAAATGAACATTATTAATTGAGAGTTTTCCCGGCGGGCCTCTTATTATAGATGTAATTAATCATAGGGGGAGGAATACAAAATATCATATCTCCAAGAACTAAATAAACCTTATTTTACAAGCCTTTTCACTTAGTGAAAATTTGCAGAATAGATTTTTTTTTGGTCATTCATTAGTTCTTGTACTCTTAAGAACTGATCAATGATCATTCTCTTACAATATTAAGATAGTGTGATCCATGTTGTCTAGCATGATGAGATTCATTTAATCTTGTGTAAGCTATAAGAGTTGTACACAAAAAAGCATCAACCCTTCCTTCCTATCAAGTATATTCTCTCACCAATGAAGTCTAATGATAGTCTTTTAAAGAAGATTATCACACCGCAATGTCTTCATCCTGTATGCTTCACTACAATATACAAATCTCCAAAAAAATTATAGACACAAAAGAAATTTTTATGAGAAACAAGATTGATCAAAATATCCTAAAACCCAAACCAAGTGATATTTTTTTATCATCATTATACATACGAGATCCAATGTCATACTTTTCCAACAAAAGGTGCATGCTTCCTAATACTAGTCTTGATTTTAAGGCTAATCGGATTATCATGTCTCAATAAATAAATCTGATGCGCAACTTAGAATGTCATTATCTAACATGATATTCATAACCAACTATAATATAGAGGGTTTTTCAATCATGAAAGTATATATTCAAAACATCTTATTATATAAATTCAAATAAAACTAAAAATAATGATTTACATGGAGTAACACCCATGCCCATGATGAGCTTTTGAGGGCTAAGCTAATGAACATAAATGAGCTTCATTAACCTTATAATCCTCCCTAATCATCTCACCCAATCATTGAAGAAATAAAAAAATTGATCAACAATTATCAAATCACTCCTAAATTATTATGGCATTAAACCAATTGCATAAATATTTACTCTTTAATCACTTGAGTCATATATACTCTTACCCAATGATTAAGAATAACCTAACTCTTCTTGCACTCATAAAAGTCATGGTATGTGATCTCATCAAATATTTTTATATGAAATTTTTATTAATAAAACACTGTAAACTTTCTTATTTATTAATATATAACTTAATTATTAAATATCATCCTATTTTACAAAAAATATATTCTTAACATCTAATTATTGTGAGAAAATGGCATATAAATAACTTCACATAATTGAGTGATATAGGCTTCGTTTGGGACGGCTTTTTTACTACTTCTTAAAGCGGTTTTTTAGTAAAAAATTATATTTTTTGTACTAAAAAATTGCTTTAAGAAGCAACAAAATAATCGTCCCTAACGAAGTTTAATTAATCAAAATATCTTTCTTTTTTTATTTTCTAACGGCAAAGAAGAAAATGTACTAGTCTCGTGCCCATTTTTGCAGCACAAACCGCCAAGTTTGACTAAAGACCAACGAGGCCCAACTCACCTTAGACTCTAATGGCAAATGGCAAATATGTAATTAAACGTTAGCTAGAACCCTGCAGTTCGGTTAAAAAAATGAAGGGGGAGAGAGAGATTTAAATGCATATCATTTTATATCATTTTATTTATTTATATATCTAATATCTAAAATTTTAATATTTCATTTCTACCGTCCATAGAACAAATATAAATGAATAGAATGAACTATTAAAATTTATAAAATAATATGGGTGATAAAAATGAAATATATAAGTGATATATTTAAAATTATTTTTGAAAAAAATGCTGAGAAAAAACTTTTGAAAGAATAATAAAAAAAAGTCAGAATATAAACTGCCATAAATAAAGCTAAATTTAAAAAATATATATATAACACAAAATAATATTCTGAATATTTACCCTCTAAACTTAATCATGCCTTCTCATTTGACAATATATAGATACCAAAATGTCTTGATAAATTTTCTTTTGCAAAAAAGAAGCGAATAGCAGCAAAGAAGAAGAGGCCATTAATCTTCCCTGCTTGCTTGTGAGATTAAAAGTTTTATTTGGGACGACTTTTTTAATACTTTTTAATGTTTTACGAAGCCTAAGAAAGAAGCTTTTATGTCTGTGTTCCACAAGCTTTTTCCATAATCTTTATTAGGCATCTACCACAAGTCTCCTTACTTTTTCACATTTATAAGAGCAAGGGACAAATGTGCAGTGAGAAGGAAAGCATGAAACTCGTACTGAAGGCAATGAATGAGTTCAACAACCCAGCATGAAAGTGCAGCCAAGATTAACAGACTAAATGCAACTGTATCACCTACCTGATGAGTAATCAACATGTGACAAAAAAATAATAATTAAATTTGGTAACCTCACAAAAAAACAACACATATTCTGAATTGAGATTCAAGTTACTAATCAATCTCTTAAAAGTATATATATATATTTTAATTTCAATCCCAAACGGCTAAGATCTGTTAACTGCAACTGCACAGGCGCAATTCACAGGCCAACTAAAAGAGAGATTATTGTGTGCGAAGACCAAACACAAAGAACAGTTCGGTTTTGCCTCTGTGAACAGTAAAAACATAGTGTTTGTGCTTTACTGTTCACAGAGACAAACCGGATGGTTCTCTATGTCCGGTCTCCGCACGTAATAATTTCTCCAACTAAAAAGGATCACCCCGGCAATAGTAAAGGTTCCATTCTGTCTTTGATATTTAATTTAGTCCTTCAGCAAACCAGATTTGAATCAATGTGATCCTATCATCAATTTCAATCTTTCTTTGGACAAAATTTAATGAAGAGAAGTTTTACATAGAACAATATATAGATTTTTTATAATCACCTTCAAATGGATTAAGCTTGAAAAGTTAAATTGCATTCTCGAGAAACTCCTCTGCATCAAATTTCATCCAAAGAAATGGCAAAGTGAACGGTAGGACCAAATTAGTTTAAATTTGTTGCCGCCTCGAAAATCTCGAACAAAAATGAAATACAACTATAAAGTCTAGAGACCAATTTGATCCCTCACTACAATTTTTCTCATATGACAAGTAATATATAACAGGATACTAATGATGAAGTAAAAAAATGAGTTGAATTGTACGGCTGTGAAATCATTAAACAACAAAGTCCTCAAAATATAGGAGGAGAATGCAAGAAGAAGAATACAAGTTTAAGTGCACCTGAAAGAATACCTGGTCTCTTATTCATGAGAAGGGAAAGGATATAGCAGCAGTAGCACAAGTAACAAAACAAAATGTCTCTCTTCCCTACCACCCCAAAAGCAAATTCCTTCATAGTTCAGTTATGATCCCTCGCCGACCATTCAAACCAATGGCTTCTAATGCTTTCAATATGGTATATACATGTAAAAATCCAAACCAACCATCTCTCCTTCCCCAACAAATAATGAACCTGAAAATCTAGAGTAATAGTACATATCACGTTTAGGCTCTTCACAAGAGAATGATAGGTTGCCATGAATAAAATTCGAGTATCCTAGGCTAATCAGAAATCTTTGGATGAGACTGGAACTACAATGAATGGAATAAGGGGGAGGCAGAGAGAATATGGTAAAATGATCTGAACAAGATTGGGGAAAAGAAAAATTATGGAAAAAAATGGATTCTTCTCTAGTTGTCTTTGGCTAACTTGATTACTGTGTGGCTGGTTTTCGATCAAAAGCAGAGATTTGTATGAATTGGAAAGGATGGGTTTACAAGAGCACTGGATTTCAATGCTAGATACCATAATGCCTCAGCGAAAGCTCCAGAACCTGCAAGCTGGGGCAGATCATCTCCTTTACCTGGGCCCCATTCCTATAAATCTTGATAGTTGGCACAATTCTTACCTTCTCTGCCTTGGCAACAGCTGGGCTCTCATTCACATCCACCTTAAGTTAAAAACAGAAAAACGGCTAAGAAAAAAGTGCATTTTCTTAAGAAAGTAGAACATCTGAGCTTCAAATTTTACCTTGAGAAAATTTAGAGATGGATATCTCTTACAGAGAGCATCCACCGATTGGGTTGTTTGGACACACTGATGATTAGATGCAGCCATGAAGTATACAACAGACACTCCTGAAATAGTGATTCATGCTTCGAGTTTTAGTTAGGAAGAAAATGGCAGAGATAAGGGAAGCTGAGGCACTACCAATACCCAGCAACTGATATTTTCCATCATTTAGCAAAACAAATTTAAGCTTCATTTGGGATGGTTTTTTTATTGCTTTTTAAAATAGCTTTGTAGCACAAAAATATCTTGAATTTGAAATTTTTGTACTAGAAAGTTGTTTTAAAACGCAGTACAAAAGTTGTCTCAAACAAAACCTTAAGAGGAAAGCCAAGAAAAGTGCTGCCTATCAAACCAACATTGGATATACGTACAATAATTTATAAAAAGTTCAAACAAGCAGAAAGCATTGAGATGCATTATTGAATATGATTCTCTAAACAAAGAATTGCAGAATGCGCAAGTGATGTGATTAAGGCTTCATTTGGGACGGTTTTTTTATTGCTTCTTAAAACAGCTTTTCAGTACAAAAATTAAAATTTTATGTTTGAAAATTGCTTTAAGAAGCAATAAGAAAGTCGTCCCAAACGAAGCCTAAGAGTCAACTAATATTAAAAAATCATCAGAAATTTATGCATTTTTAATTAGGGAAGCCCACCTGGAAGAGCTATCGCTGACTGTAATTGCTCTAGACCTGTTATTTGCTCAACTTCACCACCAAATTTCATGTTGGAAACCTCCTCACCTCGGGACATTTTCAAAGCAACTTGAGAATGAAACAGTGCTTCCGCCACCTCAGTGTCAGTAGGAAGTTCCTTCCTCAAAACTTCATAATCTCTAACGGCTTCTACCCACCGCTCAAGCTATAAAAAAGAGGTATCAAATGATCAGCCTTCAAAATAGTTTCTATCATGAAAAAAATAAAGAGGGTAAAACTTTCAAACCTTGGCATTGGAAGCAGCTCTTCTAAGAAGGGCTTTGGTGTACCTAGGTTGAATTCTTAATGCCTCATTGCAGTCCTCCAGAGACCTTTCCCACTGCCCGAGTTTAGATCGGCAAGCCGCTCTATTGCAATGGAGTACTGGGTTTGAGGGATCATATTTGAGTCCCTCTCCATAAGCTGTGCAGGCTTCAGCAAAATTTCCAGACTTGAAAAGCTCATTACCATGGGTGCGAGCCCTAGCCACAGATTTCACTTTGTCCCACAGCACTGATACTTCTGCATTATGTGGATCTATCTGCCGGGCCTTCTCTGCTGATGCAACTGCTTGCTCAAACCTGCAAATTTTTCGCCCTACATTCTCATTAATCCAAGATCTTTAATCAGCAACATTTGGGAGTCAAATTTTACTGGCTCACCTTCCCAGAGCCATTTCAACTTGGGCCTGCACAAAGCTGATATAGGAACTTGAAAGCATACCAAGAAACTTGTTCTGGAAAAAAGATGGCGATTTGGCAGCTAGTTGGGATGCTATTGAAAGAGTTGAATCAGCCTCTTCAAGGTGGTGGAGCTGAAGAAGAGCTTCCGCTCTCAATGCTGTCAGCTGTAATTTTTAAGCTAATTAGCCATCAATATCCCTGAATCTTGTCGGTGAAATAAAAAAGTAAGGCTTTGTTTGGATGACTTTCTTACTGTTTCTTAAAACAGTTTTCTAGTATAAAAATTTAAAATGTTGTACAAGAAAGCTGCTTTAAGAAGCAGTAAGAAAGTCATCCCTAATGAAGTCTAAGTTAATCAAAATTGAGTTAATTCACCAAAGGTGAAGAGTCTGTGCCAGCTGTAACAGCAGCATCTGCTTCCCTCAAAGCACTCTTCCAGTCCCCCATCCTCCGAGCATCAGTGCATCTTTCCAGATGTTTCTCCACCATCTGCAGTTTCTGCATCTCAGCAAGGTCAGGCTGCGGTCCGGCCAAAAACAGGTGCCGCTGTGCATGCTCAACCAGCCCCAGCCTATTAAACAAATTAGCTTAGCCAAGATAAGTAAAGACATTGCAAAAAACGAGGAAATCTGAAGTTTTAGAAACCAAGGGAACAACAGTGTAGCAAAAAAAGAATCTGACAAGATTTACTATCATGGAAAGGAAGGACAACTAAATATGATTCTTGATTAACAACTATTATATGTCAATACACAACAGAAAACAAGCAAATTGAGGTAAGAATTATCCAAGGGGGAGATAAATTTTAAGTATAATCTCTGTTTAAGAAGCAACAAAAAAAAAAATATCCGTATAAACCATATTTGAATGAGCTGCTCGTTTCTGCTTTTCAAAAGCAAAGGAAAATGTTTTTAGAAATTCAGAAAACACCTTTCGCAGTGCTTTGACTTGTTTTCATATTCCAGTAAATCAATTCAGCAAGAAAAGCTAGAGATGAAGGGTTATGTAGGCCTACATCTATATTACAGAGAGAATGTTTCGGTAAACCTACTCACAAGTCACATCCATGTTCTATATCATTATTTAAGTACTACTCAGTGCTTATTATTTATATAAAATATGCATTGTAGAATCTAACTTTTTAATTCAGAAGGGCTTTTTTTGTTTTATAAAATATGCCAGCATAATTATATTTTATTTAAAAAATAACAAATCAGAAACAAAACCGTAAAACAGAAACAAAGCAATGCCAAACATAAGCCAGAAGAAATCATAGGTACAAAAAGATTTTTAGTAAAAGAAGTTAGACACACTTTTCATGCAAGGAAAGATCAATCACGCATAACTGCAATAATAGCTACATCTCGTTACATGGAAATATGAGTAAGAATGTTGAATAGAGTTATCATTTCCTGATTCAAAGATTAAGGTTTCGTTTGGGACAGCTTTCTTACTGTTTCTTAAAGCAACTTTTTAGTACAAAAATTAAAAATTTTATACTAAAAAAATTACTTTAAGAAGCAATAAAAAAGCCGCCCCAAACGAAATCTAAGTTAACGTATTCTGAACAATAGGAATTGGCTGATTTTGGTTAAAATTACATATAATTTTAGCAAGATCATAAGCTAGTCATGCAGGAAATAAGAACATAATGGCAAAAAATATTTTCATATAACCAGTAATGCAGTGGAGACAGATTGCATTCATCAACCCAATGGGGAAGCATCCTTAGGCTTCATTTGGGATGGCTTTCTTACTACTTCTTAAAGCAATTTTTTAATATAAAAATTTAAATTTTTATACTAAAAAGTTGTTTTAAGAAGCAGTAAGAAAGCCGTCCCAAAGGAAACCTTAGTTGCTCAAAATAGATTAATATGCCTTCTAAGCACAAATAATAATAATAATAATAATAATAATAATAATAATAATAACACGCAATGACACAATGATTAATATTTCTTAAGAAAAACTCAACCTTGCAAACAAACCACCGACGAAATGCAACATCAAGAACAACACAACACAGATTCAGCACAAGTGCATTTGCAGTCACCCAATATAAAAGCATACTAGCACCAATACAAAATCATCACTAAAAATATGCAATAAAGCATTTTCGTATAAGGAAGAGGTAAAGCACGATCTTTGTTGTAATTACATTGATAACATTGAAGGTTAAGCATAAATGAAATCATATATCAACAGGAACACAGTACAGGGCTTGCGCAGTTACTCCAATAAGATCATTCTAGCTGCAAATGCCATATCTTTACAGAAAAAAATGGATGGAACACACAGAGACGAATCAGCAAAGCAAACCTTACCTTAGATGTAAACAAGCAAGCCTATGGTGAGCCTTGGCATAACTCGGATTGAGCCGAATGGCCTCCTCACAATCCTTCACGGCCTCCCCCAATCTTCCCAGCCCAATGAGAGCTGCCGCCCTGTTATTCCAGCAAGCAGCATTGCAAGGATAGATCTGTATAGCTCGATCATAGAACGTCAGCGCCTCAGCAAACTGCCCCTTCTTGTAATGCTCGTTTCCAGCTTTCGTTACCTCCTCTGGATCCACTCTCATCGACCTCAAATTCCTCATTTCCGCCCCAACCCCAACGGCGCCGCCCCTCATTATGCTCCCGTGCCCATAATTCGCTGAACCAGATCCAAGCACATCGCTCCTCGCAGTGCTTCGACTCATCATCCCCGTCTTTCCTATCTTCCCGGAGGGACAAATATTCCCTGCTGGTAGGACATTGGTTGCCGGAGAGTTAGCCGAGCTGGAGAAGACAAGCTGGCCAGATCCGGACCGACGATGTACCGGCCTACGGTTAGGGCTGCCGTGACTTGACCCGGAAAGCTCGCCAGAGTGATTGCGTCTTGCTACGTCATCGGATTTCGTGGCGGAGAGTGCGGCATTGGGTAAGGGCTTTCCGGAGAACGAGCCAGAAGAGCTCGAGCTGCTGCTGGTGGCGGGAGCGGCGGCAGCGCCGGTACGGAGGGGCGAGACGGGTGAGTCGAGGTGATCGAAGTTCTTGGCATCGGGCTTGTTACCCTCGAAGCTAAGTGCGGCGTCGAAGCGATCTGAGATGGACTCTGCCGACAAGGGTTTCTGAGAATCCGACCTGGACATCTCGCCAAAAAGCCTCGTAGTTTCCGCTTAGATCTGCGGCAGTGCTGGCAGCCCGTGGCTCTTGCTAGCTGAAATGGCCGCAGAAACGGAAGAGGATGGCGCAAGATTGCGACTTTAGAGAAGAAGACATGAAATAGGAGAGGAAGAAGAGGGAGAGGAAAATGAAGATGGCAGATCGGAGAGATATGAAAGAGATAGAGTGTGTGAACAAGAAAGGGTAAGGAAATGAAGAGATGGGGATCTCGTGAATTGGAAAGTGAGAAGCAAGGAATGAATGCGGGTAGATTGGGAGAGATGGGCAGAGAAGAGGAGAAGGGGGCAAAAAAAAGAAACCAAGACGAGATGGTAGGAAACAAATAAACGAAGATCTTTCACCTGTTCGCCCTCTCTCTCTCTCTCTAATCTCAGTACATCGACCTCGTCACTCTCTCTCTCTATCTCCTGCCGTCTCTCTCTATCTCCTGCCGTCGCACTCTTTTTTTCTCCTCGCCAGTGTTAAACTGAAGGCCCGTTCAAAGTTTGAACGCATTCCTCTGTTGCTTCCTGTTTAACAGCAACAGCAAGGTAATTAATCCTGGCCTTCAATTTAATTTAGATGATTAAAATTCTCCATTAGAAAATAGTGATCACGATTGGATGGCCAAGTTTCCATGTGTGGTAACTAAGGAGGATCCGAATGCCACTTCTGTATGGGATCTTCTATGAAAATTTTTCGGGCATTTTTTTTTAATCAATAAAAAAAACATAAAGATATTTTATATTAGATAGGACTAAGAGTGTTTGAATTTGTGTTATGATTAGCAGTTATATATATAATCATAAATCGTATTAGTCTTAGGCTTCGTTTGGGACAATTTTTTTCCTACTTCTAAAAACAACTTTTTAGTACAAAAAATCTAAAAAAGATGTTTTAACTAGCAGTAAAAAAAGTCATCCCAAACGAAGCATTAGTTATAAATCTAAAAAAATTTGAAACTCATCCTAACTCAAAACACTTCATGATATCCTTACGTAATTTTTTTTTTCTAAATACTTGTTGCGTCCAGGAGTATTCGCGGCGGTAGAGAAATATAAAGTTAAAGTCTTAGCGTTGTACGAAAATCGGGCACACAATAAGATAAGAGAGAGAATGTGTAGTATCTATGAGACACCAAATTTTTTATGTGAAAAACCCCTAAAAAAGGGGGAAAAATCACGGGGCCTTGCCCAGTATAAATGAATCCACTAGTATTGTAATTGATTACAAATGAGGTCCTTCCTCGAGGGAAAGTCTTAGCTTGATGTACATCTTATAAAGTACATTACATGGTAAGAATATAAATCATCATTGTCGATGTGTTTGTTTGGTCTGAAGGACTGTAGTCGGTGTGCGACGTAAGTCAGAAGAATTGTAGTCGGCGGGTGACGGAGGTCGGAAGGACTATAATCGGCGTGCGACGCAAGTCAGAAGGACCGTAGTCGGCGGACGACGGAGGTCGAAAAGAATGCAGTCGGCGGGCGACGTAAGTCAGAAGGATCGTATTCTGCGGGCGACGGAGGTCGGAAGGATTATATCTGGTAGAAGTCCAGCGTTGGAAAGAAATTCAGCGAAGAGCAGAGATCCGACGTCTGGTAGAAGTCCGACGTTAGTTGGTGGCCGAGGAAAACTCCAAGATTAGATGATATTCGGGGAGAATTCTGGTGTCACTTGGAGTTTGGGTGAAACTCAAACGTTACTTGGAGGTAAGGAGGAATTCCGGCATCACTTGGAGGGCGGGCGGAATTCCGGCATCACTTGGACAAAATTCTAGCGGCGGTGGTCGAGGAGTTCTTCCCTTCTATCATTATTCTCTTATCCTTCTTCTCTTGCTTGGGCCTTGATCCGGTGGTCCCTTTCTCAAGAGAAATGAAGGGTTTATTTATAAATATTTTTGAGTGGCAAGGCCTGTAAATAGGTGAGAGATAAGGGGTGAATTGGGAGTGATTTGAATGGATGACCGATATTGAATCCCTTGATCGTGGACCGTTCATCAAACATTTGAAGGTCTTAATGATGTCAGAATTCGGCAATCTTGGGCTCGTTGGATTCGTTTCGTCGACCGCTCAATTCGGCTATAAGCACGTCATGTTTGAAAACCGTTTGATAACTCAATATGTGGTTTGAACCTTCCAACAGCGCTTCGAGTCCTTGATTTGGACTCATTTGGGCTCAGATTGAGTCGATTTTGGTGTTGTTGGATTCGTATTTCCGAGGCGATCAGTTCTAAGGTAAGTTTGCTGAAATCGGAGTTCATATGATCCCAGAATTAATTTTTGAAGTTTCTAGCTTGATTTTGCCTCGAGATTCGTGCCCGATCAAGATAATTTCTTAATGACATATCAATACTTTTTAAGATTAGGATGTAATTTAAGGAAAATTTTGAAAGAATCATGATCTGAAATGTAGCCCAATATTAAAATCATCTGATCAAATCAGATGAATAAAATTGACAACAATTAAAACTTGCTCATCTCAATTAACAAATAGGCATGTAAATTTGTCTTGACAGAACAAAATTATTCAAATGTTGACTAGCTAGAAGTCAAATCAAAATAAGTGAATTGTTAATAAATTAGACCTTACTTGAAATTAACTTTTTAGTGATCATATATATGACTTGAATCAAATTAGCTCTCAATCTACTGTGTGCTAGAAGGTGAGTTGGTGAAAGAGAGAGATTTTGACATCCCACGCGTAATTAAAGAAGTAAAATGAAGAACAAGGGCTAAGATATAATGACTTTCAGTCACATCATGCTAGATACTACTTATTTTGGCTCACGCCATTTCACATTAGGATAAACCTCACAATTTTATTCACTTTTTTACAACTTTTAAAGAGTTCTAACACCACAAGAGTTTAGGGGTGCAACCGAGTAGAGCCGGCCTGGCTCGGACTCGACTCAGTCACAGGCTTAACGAGCAGAGTTAATCGAGCTCGCAAGTCGAGCTCGAGTTTAAACATGCATCGGACTCGACTCGTCGGCTAGACAAGCAGCTCGACTGGGCGGGATTCAAGGGAACGAGCTCGGGACGACGACGACGGATTGGATCTCGACGGTGGAATTCGCAACGGACGCGATGACGATGGCGAAGCTTGGGATTGAGCTCGACCATAACTGACCTCGGGATTGAGCTCGACGATGACAAGGACGACGGACTTAGCTCGGAACGGATGCGAAGACGACGGCGAAGCTTGGGATTGAGCTCGACCACGATGGACCTCGGGATTGAGCTTGACGATGACGAGGATGATGGATTGAGCTCGAAACGGACGATCACGATGATGGCGGAGCACAGGATTGAGCACGACCACGATGGACCTCGGGATTGAGCTCGACGATGACGAGGATGACGGACTGAGCACGGAACGGTCGATAACGACGACGGACTGAGCTCGACGACGACGACGGAGTAAGCTCGACACAATGACAACATGTTGCGCTCGAATTGAGCTTGACAATCCAATCGACGAGCCACTCGACATGAGACGAGTCGAGCTCGGTATATGGTAGTCGAGCTCGACTCGAACAAACCCTAACTCGAGCTTGACTCGACTCGTTTGCACCCCTACATGAGTTCACCATTACAAACACACTTAATTGTGGAGTTCATAATAAAAATTCACTTGTAAGCCTGGTAGGAGTTTCTTATTTGCCTTAAGTATTGAACCAAAACCTGAGGTAGAACACCCCAAAAAATTTCGAGCCCTCTGGCACCTATCATCCACTAAACAAAGATAACACATGATCTTAAGATTCGCCTTAAGAACCCTTAGCTTTCTTTGGGACCCACCCCATGGGGTGAAAGAGTCTTGGTCAAATTATTTGACCTATGGTCAAAGTATATTTGACCAAAGCTACCCTACAACTTTGAAATTCCCAAATTCAAGTTCAAAGAAGCGAGCAAAACCTAGTGACCCTAGCAATGAGTTTAAATGGTTTTACCACATTTTAGGAGCATCTTGATTCATACTTGACCCATAGTCATGCCAATTTAAACTTAGTCAAATATAATTTAATAAAATTTTTCAGTGGCCTATCTTAAGCTCTGTTATAAAAATTGGTTTAAATATAAAAATTCTAAAAATTAGGAAATATATAAAGTTGCCTGTAAGGACTCTAAGAAAGCATTCTACAATGCAAAGACTTTAGATTATAATTATTTATATAATAGATAATATAATAAAGATGACAAAAGATATATGTATAAGCTAGCCAAACAAAGAGATATGAGTGGTAAGGATTTAATTCAAGTGAAGTGCATTAAGGATGAAAATCAGAAAGTGCTTTTTTAGAAGAGGATATTTAATAAAGGTGGACGACATATTTTATTAAGCTTTTCAATAAAAATTGTGAAAATATGGTTGACTTTAGTGGCCTTAACACTTTAAATGAAAATATATAGTCCAAAAGCCACCAATCACTCTTTGTTGCATGTAAACTGCAAGCATAGTCAGTATAATTGATAGTATAAAGTCTAAGTGGAATTAAAAAAAAATGAAATTTAATGCAGAAACTTCAAAAACTCATAACTAATTCATTTCTTAATGAAATTTGATGAATAAATCCTATGAATTTAAATAAAAAATTAAGAAGAATATATTAAATATAGTTTCAATTATATTTCAGTTGTTCTTAAATAACTATTTTGTTTAGAAATAATAGGATTAATGATGTTATTAGTACCCTTAATCACTTCTAATTGATATAAAATTCATATGGGTTATTCTTAAAGATCTTAGACCTCTTTGATTTTTCCCTTGTGGTTAATGCATTCTTTAACCCTAGTTGAATTTGTAAACTCAACATAAATAAAAGAACACTAGCGCCTTCTCTGCTAGGGGTTTTTTCCCCTAGCACCTTCTATGCGGCCTGTATGTATTATTATACTATGACTTGATGCCGGTATATATATATATATATAGGGATTTAACATCAGCCGTCCATCCAAGTCACTTCCAATATGCCCTTGATCTACCACCTATTTATGGGCCATGTGTGAGACCTCGTTCCCTTACTGTTCCTCTCTGATTTAGATTTTCCTCCCAGGATCGTCCGGGACGATATTGAGATCGTCCAGGACGATCTGTACTGTTCAAAATACCGTCCTGAGAATAGTTCTGGGAACCGTTCAGGACGATCGGGACGATTGATTTTGGTCTGATCGTCCCGGGACGATCTGGCGATCGGCCGGGCCGATCAGCTTTATGATATAAAAAAATCAGCTCGTTTTGAGGAGAGAGAAAATCATTTTAAAACAAAATATCTGATTTGAGGAGAGAGAAAGAGAAAGGGAAAAGAGGAAAAGCTTGATTTTGGAGGCCGCAGAGCGCTTTTCGTCCGACGCCGCTATTGGGAAAAGTGAAGATCTCGTGGTAAGGACTCTGAATCCTATTTCTGTTTTCAGAGATATTGAGTTTTG